AGAAATGTCATCATTCGTTTATCTCATCGTTTTTCTCACACAACACGCTTTCTTCCCCCCTCTCCCTCTCTCGATTCTGAGTGAACGAAAACTTAAAGATGTGTCTCTTTGTTCAGCACACACATATAATTGAATGATTTATGATGCGTTCGCCATTTTCAATCATTTGAATCCACCGTCACCACCACGCCGTCATCACCAGCACAACCGCATCTTCCGCTCTACTGAAATCTGAATGGGAAACTTTTTCAAGATGCAAATTCTCGCTCGTTATTGTTGTGCATGTGACTTTTCACATCATAATGAGCGGGTTTATATTTAATACCGTTTCAATGGGAGTCTGAAACGTTTTTACAATCGATGCTTACTTTTCGTTTTTTTAAATATTTTTTTTTTTGATATTTAAATTAAGTCGACTCGTCGGTGAGTCTTTCTTCTGTATTCACTTTCAATCGCGATACAAAGTCGAATGACTTTTAATGATTGCAATTGAGTTTGTTGCTCAAATGTGAGCATTTATACTTGGATTATGCTGAGTACTACTGTTGCGCAATGCTATTCACTGTGTGTAAAAAAAAAATTGTGACACATTCAAGTGAGAGACATCTGGAGAATAAATAAAGACTGAAATAAATGTCGGTGATTTTTCTCCCAACGTTTACCCTGCATTTATGGAGGAATTTTTTAAAATATAGTTCTTTTTTTTCCACCCTGATAAATCTTCTACTTCTATGCACTCGCAATCCACATGAATAAAAGCCAAGAAAATTTCGTAAAATGTTTATCGTAAAACTTTTTACTTCTTTTGATTGGCATATAACAGTAAATGTAGTTGCTTAGCATGTCGATGAAATTCATTCACGACGGAAATTTATCGCAGAAACTTTAAACAAAGACGAAACTACGGGCGCATCGATTTTCTTTGCAAAGCTAAAATGAAATTGTGCTTTTGACAAATTACGACTCTTGTGCTCACAGCGGTAGAAGAATCTTGAACTTCGTTCGTTTTCATGGTTACGATCATAGTTACATGTCGAATTGATAGTTGCTTGAAGTTTGAAGCACCTAGTGGCTTCCAGATTTTTATCTTTATCACATCATTTTTGTCATGCGCTTGTCTCCAAATGAGATCAATGTGTACGAACGCTCCACGAAAAACTCCATTGCGTGCACATTTTATGGATGTGTGTTTATGAATGAGCTGGAAGTGTAAGTTTCATTTACGTTGTCAGTAAATTTGTTGTTTTATAGCAAACATTCGCATCAACAAGACACTACTGTGTCTAGATGGCATATATGCCTTTTAAACCCATTATTACAGGAAGAGAAAATGGTGTCATAATTGCGATGAAAACTTTTTCCGACCAGCACAGCATTTCCGCACTCAGCACAGTCGAACAAACAATGGAAACGCACTCCACAAAATATTTAATAGGGCATGTGTGTATGTGTTCGACCATCAAATTCATTGTTCTAAACAGCTTCTTCGCACAATTTGTAAGACAAACTATAAATATGGAAACTTGTCATCGCTTGAACAAATGAACTTTGAGATGGTGTTCGAAACGGACACTTTACCATGACTCTACGATGACATAATGCGAGAGAATCTCTTCTTAACGACTTTAGTATCAGCACAGCATACCGAAATGTAAGTTTTCGTGTTAGACGAACCACTTTATCGATTTCATTTGTGAAATTGATCTTTTGTGGTTTTGTAGCATCGAACGACTGCAGAAGCAGACGATGCGAAACGTGGAAGATGCACCAGACCAATGTCATTAGTCTGGTGTTAAAGGCGGATATTAAAAAGTGAAAGCAAATGCCATATTATATTTACTCACCAGATTTGTGAAGTGAACATTCATTTTTCTCGCGCTCACATGACCGCCAATTTCCTGCGTTGCAGCGACAGCTCTGTCTACATATTATTCTCTTTTTTAGCTGCTTTATTTGATTTTGCATTTTACATCCGAACCAAAGGATGCCTGAAGTGGGAAAAAAACACAAGCAAAACGACGCTTTTCGAAAGACGCGTTCACCAAGCGGAAATTGTGTATTGTGCACACCAGATGAAGAGCACGATTTATATAATATTTTTGTGATGGTGGTGGTGACGACGGCGGTGGTTCATTTTTCCAGACGAGCAACACAAAATATGACACGATGGATAAAAGGGCAAAGCTGACATTTTACCTGGCCTTCACATTCGCTATTTTGTATCACAAATCGCCCTTTAGCACATCGGGCCCAAGTATGGAAATTCTCACTTCCGTTGAACATATTTATGGGGTTTCCGTGCAACGGTCGTCCATTAAAAATGAACCAACTTCAGACGTTATTTCAATGCCAAGCGAGATCTGGTGCACTTAGCCCGACATTCGTGTGCTTATATACTATATTTTTTAGTCTTTAAAATCTGCTTCGATCTTTGTCTAATGTATCGGTGACGACATCCATTATCTTTTCATGCGTAAAGTGCAGTCTTTATTTTATCATTATTATGGGTCAACAATATTATTCTGATAAAGCCACGCTAAAGTGGATCTACTTTGTTGCCTCTGTACCGGTACATTCACTAAATTCTGAACGTTAAGAGTTTTCGTGTTCTTAGATTTTACGCTCCGGTGCATTTGAAAGACATCAACTTAATGATACATCAAGTCTATATTTTAGCGGATTTTAAATAATTTCAAAATACTTTGAACAACGCAAACATGGGCTAGAAGATTTTGCCTTCTTCCATCTTGTGATATCGATTTTATTACGCCGATATGTTATAAGCGAAAAAGCTTTAAAAAAAAAAACGTAATTTATTCATGTTCAACTTAAGATATTTTTCCCAATTTCTTTATAAAAAGAAATTTAAAATATTTTACTACGCCAGTTACACAATTGATATTGTTTTGGTTATAAGAACTTCTTATTCTAACACAACTCGTATTAAATACATAATGCAAATAACACAGAGTCAATCACATTAAATCGCAATTTGTTTGGCTCCAAAATGAAACAATTTTTAACCGAAAATTCACTAAATCAAACGACAAACTCCTTTTTGTGACTGATTTCGCTATTTATAGCTCATCAGTGCAGCTTTGAGAGACGTCAAACCATCTGCAGATCAAAAATAATTTAATGAGATTGACTCTGTGTTATTTGCATTATGTATTGAATGCGAGTTGCGTCAGAATAAGAAGTTCTTAGAACCAAAACAATATCAATTTAACTTAAGTGCAACACATTCAGTGAAGCACCCACGTTGCCTCATGCCGATGCAAAACCATACACTAATCTGTTAGTTTTCCGAAAGCTTTTAAACAGTGACTCCATTCACATGTCACAGGAAAAATATAAAAAATGAAACATTTTCTCAAATCCAACTAATGCTTCGCTTGGTCTTCAGCGAGTGACCGAACGCGTAAAGGTGAAAGGTTTAAAGAGAATGTCAATTATCGTGTACGTAAGCGTTGGATTAAAATAGAATAACATATTCAATTTTCATTCAACATATGTCAGCATTACTTCGACTCCACATTGCCCACGCAAAGAAACGAATGAATGACCCAATGGATGTTCTTAGTCTTCGGTTTCAACGAAAGGTCATGACGGCAAACATAATGTGCGCTTAACATAACTTACCGTTAGCATAACTTATTGGCGCAGGAAATGAATTTTGCTAAAATGTTGAATTTAAAAAAAATGGAATTTCAAATGCTTTCATTAACTTAATTTAATATAAGCCAATGGTCGACTGAGGGAAGCATACTTCATTCAAAAGTGCTTGCATTAAGGGAAAAAATTTCCACGATTTATTTTTTGTTGGCACATCAAATGTTTCCACAAAAAAATGATAAGCTGCGGAAAATGTAAATAATTTCTCGGGAAAGCCAAAGCGAAAACTAAACTTGCATATTTATTCATAATTGAGATTGTGAATTGTACTTATTTTTTTCTCGTTCTGAGGTTCATTCTCAGAAAGCGCTTCTTCTAAAATCATATTCTGAATTGTTCTTCAAGGCAGTCTGTTTCGAGAGCTATTTACATCCGAACATTTTTCAAAAATGCTGAAGTGGGGAAACGATTCTATATTTCGGTTCTGTTGCTTTGCAAATATAAAGATTTATGGCATTTCCATCAAGATTTTGCGATGAAATTTATTACCTATTGCATGTCGAGCGGTATTTCAGGTCAAAATTGAATGATAACATACAATAAATAATCCAAAGCACACCAAGATTTTCATTCGCATTCGTAGTAAGCGAATATTACAGCAGTAGTAACTGTAGTATGAGTTCAGTGAAAAATTTCGACTTTTTGTGCGATTGTTTTTATCGGTTGCTATCGTTATCTCACTCAACTGCTGTGCACCGTTTTTTTTGTTCGACTATTTTTCGGTTTCAGAGGGAGAAAGGAGCAAAGAGGGAAAAAAACAACATGTGAAACAAGCATAATAAAAATAACAATAAATATGACATTTTATCAAATACTGGAAACGAAATAAATTGAAATAGAAATAGAAAAATGTAAATAAAAATCGAAATACGCTGAGCCGAGCTGAGTGCACAGTATGGGGTGGTACCAGGTAGTGAAACAATGAAATCGATGTCATGAATGGTTCACTCACTCACATCCTTCCCGCCCACCTCACTTTTATTACTGTGCAGCATTTCATTCGGTATTCAACTGCGTTGCTGGCAAGTAATTCAAGATTAAATGTTCAAATCGCATGCTTTCACCAAACAACCAAATCAACTCAAACGATCAACAACAAAAATCTAATTCCGATTTAAGTTATGAAAATGAATTCGTTTTTATTGCGTTGCGTGTAAACGTCGACCGAAATAATCGGTCTGGTTAAGTAATAGAGTTGAAGTCGACATTTGTAAACCATAAAAATGCGTTGAAGGAATGCTAATTGAGAAAAAACACTTGATTAAAATCGGAATTTGTGTCAATGTTTGCTAATGATTTGTATGTTTGTTTCATTCTCATTTCAGAACCAAATCACATTACAACATCCATCAGCAATGCATCCACAATCGATGCAAGTATCGGCTGGGCTACCACCCGGCCATTTTTTACCAAGTCCGGCCTTGGCTAGCCCAGTAGGCTCAACTGGAGCGCAGCAACCGAATCCACCGTTAGCTGCGAACGCACCATGCTCGACCTTATTCGTTGCTAATTTGGGGCAATTTGTATCTGAACACGAACTCAAAGAGATCTTTGCCAGGTAAATTATATCATTTGGTCGTTTTTTTTTCTCCGAAAATTGTCCCATTCTATCATTTTCACATCTCATTCAAATTTAATCCCAATTTTGTGAGCAAAAGAAAAACACACCGTACACACGTTATTTTATTTGTCAAATTCCAATTTACACATCATTTGAACAAAACTTTGCAAGCGAACATTTTCTGCACCAAATCAAAGCATATATATATTTTCACGAACAAAAATAAAATAAAACTAATTCTGTCACAACAACCCACATACCCACCTGAAATGAAATCAAACTGACTGTTTACTGTCAAAATTATATCACATGACATTTTTTACTGAGTTATATATACAGGGTGGCACACTCGAAGTGTAACTAAAACAGAAGACTATAACTTTTTTGTTTTTTGATATTTTTTATTGCTCTAAAGGCACGAAATGTTGCAAAATGATACAAAATTTAGAATCAGCTTCCAGATTTTATTTTCAGTTGCACTGGATCGAGTAATGCCCTCACGTCCACCATTTTTTTTAAATGTGTTTGCACGGAAGTGGTAGTTTTGACAAAAATAGAAATTTTAGAAGAAATCTAATATAGCTTGAGTGACCACAAACCACGAAAGTGATTAGATTCTAGTTCGTAAAATATTATAAAATAACTTCAGTCTTTATTGGACCACTATCACCCATGTATAGCTCCTTTTGAAGGTCGGAACTGTGATAGTCCCGAATTATGGGATTTCCTCACCATTTTCTCCATTCTGACCCCAAAATAAGTGACATCATGTGACGTGTTTGGTGTTGGGGTGAAGATTAGAGCTCTATAAATATAAACCAGGCTATAATGGTTCCAGAAGATTCCAATAAAATACTTAAATCTAACCCATATTAGAAGAAAGCCATGCTTCGGTGATAAAAACGACTTTTTAGAGCTCATTTTGGTCGACTATTGGCTGTCGATTTTGATGAAGATGGTTTCCAAGGACTTTCATTCCTGAAGTATATTACAAGGCACTGTTAGCCCACAAAAATACCAAACATGGTTTGACTCAATGTGAAGACTATAGCCAGAATAAGAACTACATAATTCCAAACACCCACGTTCGTACAGGGCTCATGTTGTTGAATCGTAGTCTTGAAGTCATAACTCGATCCAATGCAAGTGATATTGAAATCTGGAAGCTGATTCAAAATTTTTAATCATTTTACAACATTTCATGTCTTAAGAACAATAAAAATTATCAAAAAACAAAAAAGTTATAGTCTTTGGTTTTAGTTACACTTCGAGTGCGCCACCCTGTATATTTCGAATGCAAGCACGACACTCACACACACACACACACACAAAACACACCAAACACACACTGAATTTGATACCAATAAAACGAAATAAAGTAAATTACGAAACACGCTAGCACGTTAATAAAACTAGAGAGGGGACATTTGTGAATAGCCCAAGCGAAATGTAAAATTTTGCAATACGAAGAAGCTAGGGGAATCACTCACTTTCCAAATGGTGTGAATCTTACGAATGTTATGAATCTTTTGTTAACTGAAATCCAATATGGCAACTGCCAGTTCTGTCGCCATTTTCAATTTGGATTCACGAGATTCATCAGATTCATCATATTCATGACGATTCGTTCACAGTAATGTGTTGAATCTGAGTGAATCTTTTGAATCTGTGTGTAAAAATAAGAATATTGTTTGAATTTGGAAAAAGATTTCAATCATACAAACTGCATTGAATGATAAATTCCCCTAGCGAAGAAGATATGTATCGTGAAAAGGTAATTTTCCCATTCAGCAAAAATAAAGGACGTTCTCCGAAATCAAAATGCTGGAAAATCAGTTTATCAAACGTAAAGAAGATATGAAATGTAATTCAATTTCCTTTTTCGAGTTCCGAAAACAGCCAATTCATTCAGACACAGTCGATGTGCTTTCCTCCCGCATCGACCAATTTCTGTATCTGCCCATAAATAAATAATCCATTTTCAACGATAAATATCCGCGCTTTCATCATAAATCCTCGCTCCAGCCAATGTCCATTATCAATTTATATTTCATCGAAATAAAACGTAAACTGTTTAATAGCCGCATTATTTGATCGTAAAAATTGAGAGAAAAGGCGAGACCAAAGAGTGAAGGAATTCAATTCCATTCGGACGAGTAATGGCCGAAGTGCAATGTGATTGAGTACAATGGCAAAAGCCAAATATTTCGAAGTATTCGATAATTCTGGTATATATGGCGACTCTATAATTAAATTCATAAGCTTCTTTTCATGGGGTCTTTGTTGCGTCTTATTCATACGTCATAGAATGAAACCACTCATCGTCAGGACTGTTTTGTTGCGATTCATTGAGATTTCGCATGGAAAATTAGCACTGCACGTAAAATGTGAATGCATTCAAAAGGACAAGTCAGCATTCGGTTGTATCGTTTAGAAGAAACGGGAGAAATAAAGCGAAAAGAAAATTAAAAAGGCGACTCTCTCTTCGTAAGTACTATACAGGTCATTGGCATGCAGTTTCTCGGTGATATTTATTCCCATTTTTTGCCATATTCTTCCTCTGATTCCGTTTTTCTCTCGCTCTCCGTACATATAATGCGATCAAAGTGGATACACACGGATTGAAAGTTTGTCTGATTCCCATGAGTAACGACGTTAAAGATTATGATGATGCACTGCAATGCGGTCGCTTTATCCCGATGCACACAATCAGTTGCTCATGCCAATCCAATTGCAACAGCACGTCGAAAGTGGACGGAAAAAAACACGGTACGGTTTTTTGTGTGCCGAATGATCCACATCTACATGTACACAAAGCACACAGACATTTGTCATATAGAAAGAGAAAGAGAGAGAAAGCGACAGAGGATGATACATGGGGATAAAAGTGTTTGATAAAAGGCGCATCAATAAAATCCAAGTTTATTTAATAGAAGCATTTCAATTCGTTTTGTATATTATTTTCTGTGTGTCTCCCTCTCCTAGCCGGAGCCGATGGAAAAACTACATTAAATTTTTCGTTCGTCCATTATAGCAGCTGCCAACTGCGGCTTTCTACTCCGAATGATAAATGGAAATACACTTACCAAAACACAAAATGAACATGCACACACAAACTTTGAATAGTTCTGTGATTTTTTTTCCGTTTTCGTCACTTAATTCGTGTAATCCACTGGCATCAGTCGTAAATCTATCTCTCTTTGCCGTCATATTCAGTGGGTTGATGTGGTTTTTTCGTTGCTGCCTCCCGCTCCGAACCCAAAAGCGGCATGTTCAAGTGAGTCGGCTGTCAGTGGCTTGGCAATGGTTTTGCATAGGTAAAAAGGCTACACTGCGACATTTATGGTTTTGTCCCGACGAGATTTTCTTTTTGTGGAATTGAATTCAAGCAAAAGATGTCTGGCCGTCTGCTGTTGCTTTCTCTCTGCATTTATGTATTTCCGGTATTCATTTCTCATTTTCGTGCGGCAGCACATAGTGCATAGTGAATTCGTGCTATAAATAAAACTTAATAAACCGGGAATTCATGGGAAACTAAGTGAAAAGCTAGATGTTTTCTAGTGCTTGGTCAAAAAAAAATTATGTTGCATTTGCCCATTATTGCAATGATTAATGGTTGGACGATGGCAAAAGGTCTACCCTAAAAATGAAACGCAATCGAAAAAAGCAATTTTGTACCATCGAAAAGAGAAAGGAAAGCAACATGGCCGTGCAGATCCGGCTCAAATGACAATTATTGTTATTCACATGCTTGAGACGCGATCTCGAGGTTGATAAATTGATGCGGCATTATCAAAACCGTATTTACGGCAGTCGAAAAAAAAGCGAGAGATTTTGTGATTGAAAAACATATTGGCACCGGTTAAAGCTCTTTTTTCACATGTACATAAGGTATCAAAAAAAAAACAAGTGGAACGACAATATTCGCACATGCACCGTGCATCGCTCGCACAACAATTCCTTCATTCACCATACTTATATATACTCTCCGACACATTCTCACATGCACGAACATCCCCAAGCTCCTTGCAACATACACACATCTATATATAATGTATACTACTTTTAATCGACAATTGATTGGGTTCATAGTTGAAACCATTCTGCACACGCACATACACAATATATTTACCACTTTAGGAGTACACATTTCGCAAGAAAATTCATCCATCGTTTGTTTTGCTACTGAAATTGGTTTTAATTTTTGATAAGAATGAAAGAAAAATGAAAACCAAACCTACACACAAACACAACATTCATTCGTTTATTCTATTCTTAACTTGATTTTTGTTCTTCTTTTTTCTTTTTTCGTTTCCGTTTCTTTTCATCAACACCGCAAATTGACTTATGACTCTGAAACAAAAACAACACACACCCACACACACACTGTCTCTGATTTTTGTTTGGTGATGCGATTCTTCCTTTTATATTTTTTACTTAAAACAAAATTCATACTCATTTTTCTCATCTCACCAATTTAAACCAATTCTCAATGGATATTCGCATTTTTATTGACATATACATAACGTTATTGCACCTCGTGAATGAATATGTTTTCGTACGAACAAACAAAAAAACATATTAACAATCAAAACCACCACCACCACCACCACCATCACTACCAAATTTGAAATGAATGAATGAAAAAAACTACTACACACAAAAAAATCACACCACGCAGTTTGCCTGGCTTTAGTCGTCTACGAATGCACACAAAAGGTACACAACATGGTAGCGTTCCAGTAGCATTTGTTGAATTCAAAGATGCTGCATGCGCTGGTTCGGCAATATCTGCACTTCAAGGTACATTTCTGCTATCATCCGATCGCGGTGCAATTCGTATTGAGTATGCTAAATCGAAAATGGTTGCCGACGCAGCGGCCGCCATTGCACAATTGGACGGAAGTATGTGTTTTATTCAATTCCTTCACATTTCATTTCCCTCATTCACTCTCTCTCTCTCTCTCTATCTCTGTTTCTATCTTTTGTTTTTTTTTTCAGTTTTCCTTCTATTTCATTTCCATTCGTTCGATGTTTATTGGCTTCGAACAAAAGTCTTATCTTGTTTTCATTTCATTGTTGCAATGGAGTGCCTCTTTAATGGGCACATTTACCGTTTTTTCACCCCATTCTTTATTCACTTGCCGTAAAATACATTAACATATAATTTTCGATGATGCATGCCTTGTCACTACACAAAACCAATTTGTTCTTCGATTCAATTTTTTTTTCGTTCCTTTTTGTTTGGACAAAATCAACAATTCAATTTGATATGCATGCCAGAGCAATAAATTTGCACATTCATTTACATTTTTTTGGTTTCACAAGAAATATTTAAGTAAAATGCATAATTTTTTGAACAGCAAATTGTGAAACGTAGCATGTTCATTCATGCCATTCTACAAACGAATGCAGTCATGATGTTTTGCACAAAAATATACTAAAATGCACCCTCAGTTTAAGAACCAAATCCATTTGTTGTTTCCCTAATAATAATTTTAGTTTATTGTTCGATATCGTCGATTTAGATGATTTGCCATTTTTTTGTTAATTTTCACTTTTGTCTCGTTTTCGCACACCACAAAACCGAAACCAACAGAGGAGCGGGTATGGAACCAAGGCCGGATTTATTAAAAAAACCAACAGCTGATCATCGTGATTTGAGCACATATTTGATGGCAACAACTTGACCCAATTACGGAACTTACTATACAATCGCATCGCCGCCTCAAACTCAACCTCATGTTCGGGCTTGAGACAACGGCGCAACGCTTTATTTATGAAATAGAACCGGTTAACCTTTTTTTGAACAACAACAACAACAAAAATTAGTACAATTTTCATTTTCACGTATATAAAAAAAAAATGTTTAAAAACCACAAAAAAAAGAAGTAAAAAAAAATCTAAAATAAAACATGAGGAACAAGGGTTATAAAACGAAAACAAATTCAAGCAGCAACGATATCATTTGCGTTCACGAATTGGGTCCTACAAACGAACGAACATACCGTGATCGTCATCACATTTGACACATAGTGGAAAGTTGATTAATCATATCTAGATTTAGCAATGTAAATGCATAGCTAAAACGAAAAGAATAAAATGAAGAAAAGAAATGAACAAAAAACAATTTAAAAGCTAAAAATTCAATGCTACACGATAGACAAGAAAAAAACATTTAAATATTGTAATGTGCACATCACTGGACTTGTCATCGATTTCTTGGGTCCACCCTCATCTGGTGTTTGCTCGTATAATTGATGCAGGTTCACTGATGAACACACATTGAATTGACAAAAGACAGAAAATTCTCTAACTTAAAGCAAACAGTTTAAATGGGCAAAAAATTGTGTAACTGTGTAATTTCCTGTAACTTGATGTAGTGAGTAACGTTTTAAAACCGAACATTTGATGAAGAAATTACAATTTTAAACTCTATCGCAAGAAGAAAAAAAAACAATTTTTCGAAATGAAATTGTGAGAGAAAACAAAAAAACATTGTAGGAAAATAGACGAAATGAATTTTGGAATTTTTTCCATTCTCTGGCACAGATACGTATAGGAAAAAGAAGACAAAAACATAAATAGAAGAAATCTATATGCGCAGACACGAACTCAACGAATTGATTTGTGACCAAAATCCATGTTCACTTTTCGATTGAAACACGAAAAAGTAACCTCAATTTCATACGGTATTCCCCGGAAATGACAACAAAAACCTTGCTAAATAAACTAATAGTCTCAAGAGATATTTTTTCCCTCTAGCAAGTAGAATTCAATGAAGATGGAAACAATTTTGGGAGTTCGTTTGGCAATTTGATTTTTTTTCTCTCGTAATATCTCTGGAATGTAGAGTAGCATTAAAAATCAGTTAAGGTTTTCGAAATGGTTAGTGAATTTATTCATGGAAAGGAAAAAAAACAACTTCTGCCACCCAAAAGAAAAATTCATTGGAACGATATATATAAATGCGGAATTTCGATGAATGAAGGAAGAGAAAGCAAATGTGCACCGTGTTAGATTCGCATTCGGATATATATCGCATTTCAGTTCCCTTGGCCCAGTTTTACAATCCATCAATTGTCCCACAATTTGATTTCGTGTGCATGAAAATTCAAAGCAAAATGATCGTTCTACGTATAAGTTTATCCTCGTCCCCTCCAGTCGCGGAATGTAAACCAATTTCGTTGGAACCAATACAGAGAGAGAGAGACCTTAACCCTTTTTCCTTGACGCTTTTAATTCCTGCGGTTGATTTTATCATACGAATTACGTGTGTGTGTGTGTGTATGTTTGACGCCGTCATCGTGTTTGGTATTGAGCATTTTGTTAAACCACCCACATTGATTCACTAACACACACAAAACACACACACACACACATAGACATTGTCCATGTCTCTGGATATGTTTCTCTTGTTGTATTTTGTTTAATCTGAAATTCAATTTTTATGTTCTAGTAGAATATTTATAGCTTAACCAAATGTGCCCTAAAAATTATAGCTCTCTTTGAAAAAAGTAAAAAAAAAACAAGTAACAATGACATAACAAGACAAAATAAAATCGTATGAAGATAAAACGTAAAAAATTTGATGAAATTTAATAAAATTAAACATACAAATTAATGTTAATGATTAAATATGATCAAGAATGGAAGAAATGAAAGAAAAAAAAAGACAAAATGTTAATTGAATTTGAAACAAGAACCTTAATATTGTGTATTGTAAGTGAATAGTAATAGGCAGTTAACCGGCATGGTTCATGAATGTGTATGGGAAGACGTAAGAAGGATGTAATCTTCGAATTTTCTCGTAATCGAAGCTTTTGAAGCAAAATGTTCGTCTTATTGCAATAAAACGTATTTAGGAGATGTAGAAGATGAGAAAAATAAATACCATGGCAAAATTACAAGCAAATCTAGGGTTTCATGTTTTATCACAACATAACAACAGCAACAAGAAGAAAAATAAGGAGAAGAAAATTACAATCGACAAAATAAAGACGCAACATAACTGATCAATTTACTGGCGATAGCGGATTTTATTACAAATGTAGACAAAGAAATTCGTTGAAAGAATTTATTTAACGATAGATATTTCATAACACTGTTTGTTTTCTGCACCGCAACCAATAGAGCTAGAGCTATTCGATTCGGGTATTTCGTTTTTTATTCTGTTCGTTTAGAAAAATCTTACTGAAACATACACACAAGAAATGGGGAAAAGGAGAAAAGGAAACGAAGAGAGATGATTGTGATGAATAAGCTAGATGAAGGTTTACATACTTCATTGAGGATTCTGATTTTTTTTGCCTTTAATTTTTGTTCCTTCGTTGAAGAGAAAAACAAGAAATGAAAAAGAAAAAATAATTCAATACTTTAGCATATCTTAGGTATGAAAGCGACTATGGTCGAAAATAATCGAAAAAAAGGAGAAGACGAAGAAGTGGATAGTTTTAGGGAAATGAAATTCATGTTCTCAATCAAATTTTGATTAGTGTCGATTGTTCAATTGGCCATTTAGACCACCGCCGCCCCACTCTCTTCTGCACTTGTTTAGCCAAATCTCTTAATTTTTAATCATATGATTGTGATCAACTATATTATTTCGTTTTGTTGATCACTTTTTTACGGGCATCTAATTCAAACCAATTTTTTCAATTCTTAACAATCCGCTCCTCCAACCCTGTACACATGATATTTTACAATACATTCCATTAATTTTTGACAAATGGCTCTCAGGTTAACTTTGGAGCAATGACATCATTTACCTTTGAAAGTATTCAATTTTTTTGTTTTGCTGCGGAATTCGAAATGCAATTGACTAAAGTGTGAACTGCATCTCGTGTATTCATATACAACACAGTTCACGTCAGTTGCATGGCAAGAATCTCTTAATTTTTAATGATAGATTTTGTGGAATTCATTTAATTTAATGTTACTAAAACAGACAGAACAATTGCAACACTTTAATTTAAGATCGCAAGAGGCAAATAATAATTATGTATAATTTAACTAAAGTGTTAATTGTAATATTGATTCTACTAACCAGTGAATGAGCCGATATGTGGATCTTCTTCTGCATTCGACCATTCAACGCATGATAAACAATTCAATGACCAAAGGTTTTTTTTTCATCTTTTTTTTTTATAAACTAACATTAATCGTAATTTTGCACCGGATTCTCGCTGTTTGGTGACCGATTCATCAAAATAATTTCTTTTTCTGTCGGTTTCAACAACGATCAAATCGTAATCGATACTGACAGAACAAAAAAAGCTTTATTTCCTTCTGTTTGTTATTTGAAATCCACAAAATAATTTCTCTTTTCCATGAAGATCCCCAAAATTCCTCACACACACACAATCCATGCAGTCGCTCTTAAAAGCAGTAAATTGTCTTAATAGATCTTTTTCTTTGTGAATAGAATTTTGAATTAGGAAAATGATTACAGCTGTCTCTATTGTCTAGAGAATGTGTTTTTTCTTTAGTTATGTTTAGGTGTTGAGTCGAATATTGCAAATGTTTTGCTCGGCACGAATTAATCTACCTTTAAGTGAATTTAAAATAGCTGAATTAAACCTGTTTATACGTTACAATTTCTCATAAAATAACTTACAAATATTTCTCTTCAGTTCTTTAAGCGACTTTTAACACAAACACACACACACACACACACAGATAGAAAAAAACTCTCTTCAATTCTGCAAACAGTTTCAACTCTATATTTTTCTTATTTATTTATTAACTGAAATAGGCAGAGATAGTTGTCGATGTGTTTAATGTTTTTGAAAATGAATCGAGAGTTTCGATTCGTTGTTTGTTTGAAACATCAAATGTTGACAACGCATTGAATTATTACCAAAGTATCCGTACACCAAATTCAACCAAAAAATAAACTCGCACTACCGTGACAAGAAAAAAAATGAAAAAATACAATGCGCAGTGAACAAAAAAAGAACACATAACAAACATACACATACACAAAAAGCAAAGTATAAGAAGCAGACGAACCAATTATGTATACATTTTCATCATATTAATTAAAGCTAATTATCATATTTATTGACAAAAAAAAGCAACAAACACTTCAGAATAAAAAGTTATATTAGTGTAATGGAAAGCATAATGATGAAGGAATGGGCATATTGCTGAACATCGATTTTAAGTACAGGTCGAATGTGTTATTTTTTATGGCTGTCCAGTGTCCCTCGTGGCCGATGCTACGATGACGTAAAAATGTGCTTTTCATTTTTTGTTGCTTTTAATTTTTCATCCAAAAGAGGACAAAAGAAAACACAATCTCAAAATGCACGAAAATCAATCACTTTCGAAAACAAAAATCACTTCAATTATTGTCCCAGTTATTGCGATGTTTTTAGATAACTTGCCCGATATAGAGAATTCAATATGGTATTTTCTAGCGAAATTTTTTTCTTTGTCAAAATTTTAAAAAAGACCAAAAAACGAAAAGCGCGTCAACAAAGCACGTTAGCAGAATATTTGAAAAACTGATGAAATAAATAAAAAAAAATTTAACGTAAAAAAAGAACACACAACACAATGTATGCGAAGCAAAAGCGCTCTGATTGCCTTTTCTTTGCAGAAGAATTCCGTCCAATCTAAAAAAAAGCATATTAAATATAAAATTAAATTAAATGGGAATAATGTAATAATTAATTTAAAATAAATCTCGTGGAATGCAAGTTGACAGCCGAATGAAAACTGCCGCATGCAGTAGATCGTCGATCGTGTGCATGTGTAAAATATAAGGAAAAGAAGATAAGAAAAAAGAGAGAAGAAAAGAAGAAGATAGTGCATAGAATATTAAGACGCTATGACCAGTAAGAATACACAGAATAATGCCCTCAAAATTCAATAAGAAAAAAAAACCAAAATCACATCAATTCATCAAACTGCGCAATCGATCCATTCACACGGAACACACACCATTAACATATATGCCAACTGTTGACTAACTTATCAATGAAAATACTTGGCTAAAGAATTTAAAAAAAAACAACGTTTAAACGACACATCAATATATTTCAATGACGAATAGAGTGACAAAAAAATGGAGATAAAACTAACTTTTTAAACACTAATAAGATTATAGACATTCGAATGGAATCGATTTTTTTTCTCTCTCTATGCGTATTGCGATGACTTGAAATGAGAACGAGAACGAGAATACATCGTCAATACGATACGATTTGTAGTAAGATTTAATTAAATTTATGAAAAACAACAATATTTAAACAACAAAAAAAACAAGCATTAGAACTTAGATGCATAAAGCAACAACAACAACAACAACAAAACGATGAAAAATATATTTAAAAAACATCATTACTTGTGGGAACTTATAACAAACATATCAGCTTTTTTGGTTCATTTTTTTCTATTAAAAATTCTAAAGAATAATTTAAACAAAAAAAAAATACAAACTATATACATACAAGTTTAACAATCTAACCTTAAAAAAAACAAAGTAATGATAAATGCATAGAGTGGATAGGATCGACTATAGAAAAAAAACCATCAATAAAGCAACAACAATCAGTAACCAAAACTCCCGCTGAATGAATTGAAGCAGGAATTTCTGAATTGGCAAAAAGCAAATGAAACTAAAAAATGTGTCGTCTTAATCAATCTCATCATTTCGATTCAGCAACAACAATTTCATTTTGTTGCTTTAGCAACAGATTTAGAATTTTAATTCTTCTTATTGCTGGATCGAGAGTTCAACGAGTAATGAGAGAGACAGAGCAATTATTAGCAAAGAATTAAAAGAAATGAAAATCATAATGCTACATGTATTAACCAATATTCTGTATGTAGGTAATTATTCGTAATCAGAAAGTAAAACAAACAAACACACAAAAAAAAGTTGCAAAAAAATTTAATGCGTTGTAATAAGTGGTATTCATTATTAACATTAATTATTCTATTCTTATGAATTTTCGAAAGTAAAATTAAAATAGATTTAAAACCAAATCCATTTTATTTTTGAGTTTTTCTTTTTCGTTTGTTTTTTTTCAGATTTTGAGTTGATTTTTTTCGGTTTCTGCAAATTGGTTCCGTTTTTGTTTTGATTTTTTTTTTCTTTTTTGGATTTCGACAGAAGATTTGCTGCAAGAGCAATATACCATAGGCGATCCTTGTGATAGTAAAATCCTCTGTGTGTTAAAATGCATTTTTCAACACATTACAATCGTTTCTACAAGGATCGCCTATGGTATATTTCTCTTGCAGTAACCTTGTGGAATTCGATGCAAATTTTCCGTTTTGATTTCCATGACATTCGTTCGATGGGTAGATTGTGTGAGCTTAAGCAAAGACAAAAAAATTAAATACATTTAAAGCGTTGTTTGTTGATTGTTAAATGTCTAATCAAGTGAAATTACCATAAAAAAAAGCATGACGTCGACTAATTTGCAATTGCTTTAGTTTCCAACAAAAATGGCTGCTATTTTGTGATGTAAGCGCTATTGGCTTGACGCAAATTCTTCAAAAAAATGACTTTATTACAAATTGTATAAGAATTCACCGCGTGTTTCTTTTTATGCTAAAATTCCAGTCCACGAAATGAGAACGCAATATATATCCGGTTTTCTCCGAAACATGAACGCCCATTGCTTATGTCAACTGAAGAATATTTAGACGAAACAAGAAAAAAAAACTATGAATTATTACCGCATACAATTCAGCAACAACAGCAACCATTTACATTTTCGATTACCTTTTATGAGAACAAAATAGAAGAACAAATTAATTTTAACAAAAAAAATTATGAAAAAAAGCAAGGAAGACACAGCAACTCTATAAGTGAATAGAAAAAACATAACGCAAGTGGTTTATTAATGAAAGTAAAAAAAAAGATCAATTGAAACATATCAGTTCGTGCCCGATCATTATATTGATATACATATGAAAAATATTATATATTGTATTTAAAAAAGGTGAAGAAAAGAAATCAATTTATTAACAATGACAACAAGAAAAAAAAATGAGAAAAAAAAACAACTTAAGTAACAAATGACGAGAACAGAAGTAATAATAGTTATTAGCTAACAAGCAGCAATCGAAGCAACCATAATATATGGCATAGATACAAAAACACACACATATACAAGGAAATATTTTTAAAAAAACAACAACAACAATAACAACAACATTAGTGATTTTTGATGAACGACCGACATAACGAAACAAAAAGCTAACAAAACCAAATAAAAAATATTTCAAGAATTTTAAACTTCATCCAAATCCCGAGATAATTCCCATTATGACCTCTTAGACCGACTTCAGTTTCGATTCCGCTGCGATCAATGATGCTGACAATCCAATCAGACGGACAACAAACACTACATTCGTACATCTCGCAAATAGCTTTGACACTCCGGATGCTTACGAATGCCTCTGATTTCAGGTTGCATCCCTGATCCACCGGCTAAACTAATATTTAAAAATGAAAAACCAAAAAATTACATACAAATATCATTGCGACTAAAAACATTTTACTGAAAACAAAAATTTAGCAACAAAAAAAAAATGATCAATTAATAAAAGTAACATTTAAACAACAAGAAAAAAAACGATACCAGCTAATGGAATGAAAAAAAAAACAATTTTAACAACCTAAACTATTATAAACTGAATATTTGTCATTGTATAGAGTGTGTTTAATTATTATAATTATATATATTACACTAAAAAAATGAAAAATTATGGATTAACAAGAGAAAATCAACCGTTTGAAATAAAGCAACTCAAAAAAATTAAACTTTTCGTTTTTCGATCCATGGCAGAGTTTCTTTCAGAGATGTTGACTGGAAGGTAAAAGTTACGAAGAAAAAACGGAGAAAGTGGAAGATTGATGAGTAAGTAACGAATTTGAACCTTTTTTCACTTAGAATTGATCAAAATGTGGGTAAAAGTGCCGATTACAATCGGTTCCGATTATATCAAACATATTTCATAGACCTTCGATTGTTCAGAAAAACTGGTATCGATTGGAATCGGCCATGATCGGACGCCTAGGAAATAGCACATTAATTCTGCCAAATCAACTAATGGACTATCATTGAAAAACCAAAAGAACATTTACTTTGAATAAAGTATCACATTTATTAGACGTTGAAATGATTGTAAAAAGCTCAAATGTTTACAGAATTTACATTGTAACATGCTATCGTTCAATGTTAACACGAATTTGAGCTCCATTCCAGCTAGTTTATTGAATAAAAGCGTCGAAAAAATGTCAGAGAATAGCGTTTAATTAAGGGAAAAACAACGAGCTATTCATCTGTTTTTGCACATTAAAATAAATATTTTTCATTATATTATGTTATATCTTGCGAGAGAAAAAATTACAATTTCAAGATTCATTACATTTGTTTTTATTCTCATTAAGTATACGAGTTATTTCGAGTTTGTAAGACTTTGTTCTGGTTCTGTTCCGTTAATTATTTGCATAGACACTTAAAAACAATTATCATTATCAATGCGAAATGGATGCTGCAGAGCAACAATCTAGACTCCGATGGCATGCAGTGTGGTCTTTGTTCAATTATATTTTGTTCATTGGTTCGTATCATACAAGGAGCTAATCATAGCAGTGATTGTTCGAGCATAATTTTGTCAAATCCCGGCGGCGGACCAAAGTTGAAGTCATCCAATATGATGTCTAAAATTGCTCCATCATCAACTGAGAAATGGACAAATCAATCAACGTCATTAGCAAAAGTTACAAAATTGAAAATGTTAACATTTCGGGTATTTTTCTTCGCTTCAAATTCGATTTTAAATCGTCTTACCAAATAGCGCAGGATATACAGTTCCTTTGATGCTCAAAGTGGGAATATCAAGCTTCTTGCCATTCAGATAGAAGTTCATTTCGACGTGATCGTAGGCTACGCCAATTGTATCACCTTCTGCTGGAATGCCCGTTTCATGATTTGTACCTGGTAGAACATCGTTAATATTTTCTAATGAGCTTGATATATCGGCCGGTTGAAGTGAGAGCTTGTGAATTTCTGTGTTGTTGTGCAGTACAATATGGTCGGAATTAAGACACCACGATTCTGTATCTGTGCCGCCTTTCGATTTGTTCAGATCTGTTTTGTGTGTTGCTAGGCCAATCGACCAGTGTCCACTTTGCTGTAATTTCACTTCAAAATATGATTTGGACTGAACTAATGGCGCCGTAGCCAAGGCTCCACCCGAACCGCATATTCGACATCCATTCTTCAAAATCACCACTTCATGACCTATTCAATGCAAAATGAAACCCCGTTCAATCGGAGGTAATAACATGGAAATGCCATTCAAATGCCATATTGTTCATAATTGAAATTCAATACGTTACCCATATTCGCTGTATCCAGCTGTATATTGTTTTGGTTCATTTTCATGGCAACATTCGCACTGCTACTCCGTCCGCCGTACAGAAATTTCAAACAACACAACATCGTTGACTACAGATCCGGCTTAACTTAAATGCTAAAATCAATAATGCAACGACGATTTGCACAAATTCCGCTACTTAACACTTTTATCGCCAGCTATTAAACCAGTCATAAATTATCCAAAAAAAAATACCAAGCAGACTCGCTTAATTCGGTTGGTAGATAATCTCTTCAGTATTGTTTGACGTTTGATGATTTTCTTCACTTTACTTTTTTCTAACATATGTTTGTCCATCAAAAAACCAATACAATCACACAAGTGTCATTGTTATAGGGATGCCAGCGTTCTAGGAATCAGAACATTGATCAAGTGCATAACATTCAATTACACCGATAGTGATTAGAAGTTGGAAATGTTCAACAATTACAATTTTTCAAAAAAAAACTCTGTTAAAAATAGCGTTTTTAATTCGAAATGCAAAAAATAATGTTTATATTAATTGTGCGTGAGTTTCGAAACTCACGCGAACAATGTAAACGACTTTGACAAGAAACGTCAAATGAATAACCAATAAGAAGTGTTGCCATAATGTGCTGGTTAAGTGTTGATAGATGTTGCTTTTTGAACCGCAAAGTATCAAACATTCTTCAAGAGAGCAAACAGTGAATAAGCGGTTTTTAGAATCTGAAATAATTATGGGAAAATGGTCAATAAAACGATTTTCATTAAATGAAATGGAAAAACTGATTTTTTTCTCTTACTTTCAGAAATGTACTCAGATCCAAGAAGAATATTTTGTTCACAGTTAAATGAATGGGGAAACTGCTTCGCTGAATAAATATTGAAAATGCCTGTTTATATCGTTTATCCTGTTTCATCCAATTTGATTCATAGATTTTCCAACCAATGAGCCGACTTTTTTCCAACGCCACTGATCCGAAGAAACACGGCACGAAAATTTCGGTCATCATACACATGAAGTATACGATAACAAATGACAATTTGGAAAAATTCTCCGGTGCGATCTGGATTGAAACATGGATTCTTAGAATGAATTCAGCAAATTGAAAGGGGAAAAAATGAAAAAAAAAGTTATTTTTGTCATTGCGCTTTGAACTCAATGCACTAACCATTGTCAATTGATAAGCACTGGTGCAAAGCACAACACCACTCACGCAAAACTGCGCGAACAAAGCAGATCCCAAAGTGGATTCTAATAATTTTGAGCATCTAGAAAATGAAATTGTTGAGTTTTTTTTTTTAATATTTAGCCTCAATTCATCATTTAGAGTAAGAATTTGTGATTGTTTGTCAATGACAGGTAGAACGAGAGGATTCTCTCTTAAAGAGAGTCTCTTTCGACAACGATTTCAACGCCCATTTAATACTACATAGCTACCTCAAAATGTTTTCATAGGTCTTGCAGCCCGAAATCAGTTGATTGAAGTGTTCGTCCGATGAGAGTTCTTTGGCTTGGCCCAAGCATTTCAGTCTGTCTTGTAAGATGTCAATATGCGTCGACAAAATTTGAAGCATCACAACTCCGTAAGTATCAGCTGCGACGGCAAAAAGAACGATGCACGTGTTTGCAATGCCCTGAAGGAATAGTCCGCCCACATAAACGTTGGTGCGTTGAGCCCATTTAAATGGATATGCATACGTTGAAGACCACATCCGAGTTTCTGGTTTTGAGTAAATTGTTTGAAACACCAACAATACACAGGTGGAAATGTACGGATACAAATAGGAGATATAGAGTCGATGTCCGATTTTGATGGTTTTATTCATTTGGAAAATGTGTGATTCATCGTGGATTTCACTGTCCAAGCTTTTGATTATTTCTAAAAACTCGTTCAAACCCTTTCGCGTTGTGAATAAAGCTATGGCTTTCACAACAACAACCACCACGGAACTGGTTATCACTGAACGATCAACCATTTCCGTGACTGAATGCGCGAAAAATATGTTGAGAATTTGACTCAAAGGAAATAAAAATCCAAGTAGAACTGTAACTGTCCAAATTCGGTAAAGTTGGGGATGTAACGATGCTTCTTTCGGCCAAACTCCAGCCACTTGGAAAGTTTTGAAGTGATATTTTAATGCTTTTGACGAATCCATGGCTGACACAGTCAACTAAATGACGACATGTTTGAAATTGAATTGCATTTTATACCATTTTTAAAATATGAATAGAATGGATAAAAGGGACGAGTCAGATGATGATAGTGCCACATTGATTGTAGTTATTATGATATATTTTATGTTCGTTTCACAAACCCATAATTAACTCCAAGTGCCTCATTCACTCAGTTTTAACGCCAGACGATTTAACTATACATTTTGGAAGCATTTTTTTTTAAATAACAATTCGGAAAGATATTTTTATTGCGTGGCGACTGGGTACCGAGAAAGTAGCTACTCGTTCGTAAAATTTCTTGAAGAAAAACGAAGATCAATCGTTCAAAGCAAAGTCAATTCGAGTTCAAGGTTTTATATGAGTTCAATATTTGTCTAGGATTTATGTGTTTACTGAATGTTGCTTACCCTGTTCCAACTAAAATCTCTTGTATCACCCACTAAAAAAGTTTGAACAAAGAAGAGAAAAAAACGACATCAATTTTTATTCAAATGATTTTTTACTCTTTAATATTGTTTTTCCTCTGAATTCATATTGATCCGCAAAAAAAGAAAAAAATAGAAACATTACATAAAATATAAATTCATTCGATAACTCTATGATATGGAAATATTCTTGAATGCTTATAGCGTCTAAAGTAATTTTATTTGAAAAAGATTAAATGATAGAAAATCGTTATAAAACTGTATATATAATTAGAGTAATAATAAAAAATGAAGAAATAGAAATTGTAGCGAACGAAGAGAAAGGAGTTGCGCACATGAATCTCTTAGTTTCAATAGATATATATAAATAGAGCAATAAATATGTTTTTTTTTCTGATTTTGCTTAAGTATATATAAATCATAAAATGTGAAAAAGATTCAACTAAATTCTGTCTCTAGGACTTTTCGATCTGCAACTGACTGAATCAGCGAAGTAAAACCGAGTCCGTGAGATGAGAAATTAGAAGGGAATTTCCCACAAAAAGAATGATTGAATCAATAAAAAACGATAATCGGATGTAAATGCGTATGGTGATTGTCTAAATAATAGAAAAAAGGTAAGAGCTTGTGATGAAATCGGCTATATAAAGACTACTAAATCTAACCAAAACACGTACATAATATAGTTAAATTGTTTAAGTGATTAAACGTTTGTCAACGGAATTGGCAACTGTACCGTGTGAATTAAGGAATCTTTCTTGCTTAATTGGAAAGTAGCTGCGTTGAATTGAGCTCACCAATTCAGCGATCTATTTCGATCTGTTTCGAAGCAAATGGTTTGACAAACATTTTTCGGTGGCATTGGCAAGTATTGCGAGTATTTTTTGTTTCTAATTTAAGAATCGATAAATATTTGACCGAATTTGCCTCAATCATTTCCAATTAAGAGAACTAAAACAACAACAAAAATACCTTGTCAAAAACCGCCTGAAACTCATGCGTTACCCTCTTTGCATCGACTCCCAACGATTTTACGCAAAAACACAATATTTTCTTTTCTGTAAATGGCAAGAGTTTGCGAGATTGATGTGTCTCATCAATTACAATCGTTTGTTTCTTCTTCTTTTCATCTTAGCAAATCGCGCGTTTCTTTGCTATTCCACCTCGTAATCGTGTAAATGAGTAAAGTGTGTATGATCACAGCGTGTCGTTGTTCAAATAAGATTGTTACCGTTCCATTTTTTTTGTTGTGTTCAAACAAAAGCAATTAGAATATAAAAATTTTATCAAAAAAGAGCATCTATACACAGAATGAGAAGAAAAAAAAATTGGAAAACTTCCTCAAAAGTTCGATTCCATTGATGCGATAAAAGCTAAGAGTGTTCCTGTTTCATTCCAAAATTACAAGCAATCGTTTCAATATCTTGCTTTGCTCAAGCTATTTACAAAAATTTTAACAAAAAAAATAAACATTTACGTTCTAAACGCGACACACAGACACGTACATACTGAAACAAATTGGACAAACATGACCAATCCAAACAAATGGTAGAATCTCTCCATCTTGTCATCCATATCAATAGCATTCAACGAATTAATCATATAATAATGAGTATTAAACATGAAAATAAATGAATCAAAAAGAAAATTCGTTAAAATAATCATTCTACATTAAATGTTAAGAATCTAAAATGCTGTTCGCATGTGAATGCGCATCGCATTGGAATCTTTTCCCAAAAAATATATTCATAAAGAGAGTTTAACTCAAATACAACACATCTACGACACTAAAAAAAGTGTTTTTTTTTCTCTCAAGATTCATATATGGTAACCAAAGGAACAAAAACTATATATTTAAAAAAAGGAGCAATAACTTAGAGTACGATTCGATTGAATTCCAACACTTTCAATCTCTCTCTCTCTCTCTCTCTCTCGCATACACGCTCGCACGCACAAAAAAACTATCTATCCAAAGTGAGTATTCATTTCATGAGGCCTGGTTCGGATACATGGAACTGCCAAGTCAGTTAGGGTAATCTCAAAAGAAAAGAAAAATGATAAACAAAACAAAAAAAAACTAACCATTCGTAAAATGTAAATAAATTAATTCAAACGAGACATAGGAGAAAACAATAAAAAATGTTGTCCATTTCTTCTTTTCTTTATCTATATAAAATATGAAGAAAATCAATCAAACGAAATACAAAAAAAATCTTATGCAAATTTAGTCTTCTATCAATCGGTCAAATCCAAAAAGAAGTTTTTTTTAAACAAACGAGGAAAAGAAATGTGCAAAGTCTCTTAGAAAAAAAAAATTGGCAAATGAGCGATACAAATTAAAGGAAGGCAATTAATTTATCTGATAATGCTGGTCCCGTTGGTAAGAACGGTAGACGGTACGGTTGTTTGACCGGGATGCGGCTGTTGAGCCTGCTGCTGATGCTGTTGTTGTTGTTGTTGCTGCTGCTGCTGAGCTTTCGATCCTTTTGTGGTGATTGCGCTCTTTTGGGCCAAATGCGTTTGGTAGTGCTTGGCCAAGTGAGCCTTCTGCCGGAAACTCTTACCGCAAAGCGAACACGCGAAAGGTTTCTCTCCTGCAATCAAAATGGAATTTTAAATCGATTAGTCAATAGAAATAAGTTCAGCAGAAAAAATTGGGACAAAATCAAAGGAGACTGTAACTGAGTAGAGTGATGGTCTAGAGTCTACATCTTTCAGTGATGAGTCATGTCCTACTTAAATGAAGAAAAAAATGGAAAGAACTGCAATGAAAATACGTTACCTGTGTGAGTCCTATGATGAACATTCACTGAGTATTTGTCCTTAAAACCTTTTGAGCATATGGAACAGTAGTGCAAAGAGCGTTCTTTGCGCTGTCCATTGATGGCTGTATTGAGATTCATATTACCGTTACTGTTTGTTAAATTGTTGTTGTTGACATTAATGTTATTGTTATTGTGGTTGGGTGATCGTTTGTATTTTTTCGGCGGTTTGTTTGGCTTGGCTGTGGTGGTGATGTTCGGCCTACTGTTGATCAATACACTGCTCGATGTGGTGACAATATCTTGTTGAGGCATTGCGGTTGTGGTTACAATCGATGCCGCATTCGGCGGAATGGCAACTTCAGTAATCATCTCGGTGAAATCGTCGGAGATACAAAATTGTTGAACATCGGACGCGATTCGTTTGATTTTCTCAAAATCATCGGTAAACGATGAGTCCAATGTTAAAAACATGTCATCGACCATAACACCATTTTCGGTGCCATCCGATTGATTTGATGTTGGCAGTGAAGAATTGGTCGATTGCACACCCGAATGATTCTCATCGAATAGCGGTGTATTCAGCGTTGAATCGGCAAATGTTAATGTTGTCTATAAAATTAATTACTCAATTAGCATTTTCGACATTTGTTGGCAAAGCACACATTTTCTCCCTCTATCATGTTCATTATCGAGAGGTTGATGGTGATTTTCATAAATTAGCATACTTTTATAGAGTCACACAGATTGATATCGATATATTTACCTGAGCGTCATTGGAGAAGATGGCTCGCCTCAGTGTACCGTCCGTTTTGATGCTGTTTATGGATGGAATAACAGTTACCGTATTCTGCATACCTTTTGCATAGCCTTTACCCTGAAGTGCACTGCGTAACAGTGACTCTGGTGTCTCCTATCGTATTTTTTTTGGGAAAACAAACGAAATTTTAAAAAATTATTCATTAAAAATCAATTAAAAACAGCAACGATGCTCAGTGTGCACATCATGTAGTTCACTTCAAGGTGAATGATGCAAATATTTTTTTTTGTCCATTACGCAGCGATATCTTTTGATATACGCTTATTTGACAAAAAAAAAGTTGTTCAGTCAGTGTGAATAAGCAGAAACTTACGTTGCCATCCTCGACGATGATGTTATGATCAGCCATTTGCCAATCATTGTTGTTATTATTGTGAAATGCGGCGTTTAGTGTGCTATTTAAATTCGTGCTATTGGTAACCGGGATCTGTTGCTGTTGGCTGTGTTGATTTTGAATGGTTGGCTGATGTGTTTGCTGCTGTTGTTGCTGTTGTGACTGCTGCGGATGCTGCGGATGCTGTTGCTGCTGTTGCTGCTGTTGCTGCTGTTGTACATTTGATATGGACGATGCATTCGACACTGATGACGACGATGAATGAATGAGAATATCGTCTTGTTTGTCAGTTGAGAATCCGCTGTCATCATAGGAGTATTCGGTTTTGATATAACCGGGGAACGTATTCAATAGACTATCAAAGTCAAGTGCTGGTGCTGGCGTCTCTTCGGCTGTATCACAAACTTTGCGCTGTACCATTGTTGGCTCTTGTTGCTGACTCAACAGCCATGGCTCATTCCCATTTAATACCGTTAAAGTATAGATTTGACCGTCTGTGTTGCACACCTGACTACCCAATTCACCCGAATTATTCTGCTGTGTCCAACAGTAACGATTTAGATCCTCGAATATCGTTGACTCAAAACGGTTTGTATCCTTTTCAGCACCCCAAAACTGTTCCAAATGGAAAATCATTTGAAATTGAAATGAGTTTAGAGTTTTTTCACAATTTTAAATAATTTGTTTCATTTTGAATAAATAAACAGAGATTTTACTACTAAATGTTCAAACTCAGAAGTTGAATTTTTTATTTTTAGTTCAATTTTTTTTAAATTGAATTCGATGTAGGAGACAGACATCTTGATCAATTTTTTGAGCAAAAATGCAAGTTTCGAAAAAAAAGCTTGAAGCTATGTTACTCACCTGATCGAATCCCTGTAGCGGTGCATCCAAATTGTTACCGTTGGTGTCGGAAGTGACACGATCGTTGATGCCAATGCCGATAGTATCGGGTGCGGTAACAAAATCGAAGAAATCGGTTTTTGTAATATCGTCAGTGCGAAATGTCTCCGTAATATCCATGCTACCAGTCGACATAGTTTCTTGTAAAGCCTTCAACTGAATAACCATAGAGCTAGTTAGGTAGTAAACGTGGTTGTTGTTTTCTTCTATGATTTGATTTATCGTTGCCCGTTGTATTTCAGCAAATCAACACTCTTTCTCAGTATAAATTTCTCTCTCTCTCTCTCTCTCTCTCTCTCTCTCTCTCTCTCTCTCTCTCGGTATCTCTGTAATGGGATTGATTTGCGTAATTCGTGTTTCGAATATCTAGTTATCTCGCGTAATGTATCCGTAGCCGGAATCGAAGCAAAACAAGTGAATATTATTCGTAATAATCCCGCATCAATTCCACAAATTGTTCGAATTGTATAAATCTGCAATGATATGAGCAAAGAAAAAAGAGAAAATTGTTTCCTAATTATTATTGCCGTTACAGAATGTATGTTTCGAATTTTATGCTTCTTAATTAAATTTTATGATCGTGAACCAAAAAACCAAAAAAAAAAATCCAGAGCAAAAAAAAAGAAACCAAATCAAATGAAGTGGAATATCTGTTAACTCTGTTACTAAGTTGTAAAGTGAGACTTGTGGAAATCACGAATTTATATGTCCATTTCGAATTGTCGAGATATTTTCGCGAACCGTTTCTCCCCGGTAGCCGTGGAATGTTCAGTAGCAACAAAGAACTGAACTACCCGACAACCTCATACAATGGGAACATAAATATTAGCGACAATTTTAATTCGATGAAATAAATCTGCTGCAATTGGTATCATAAAACATTTGCAAGCACATAAAATTCGCCGTTCGCCGTAACACAAAACACACGCACAAAAAGGAGTTGCACACACACACAACGGCAACAACAAAATTAACCGAAAATATTTTAAATGAGGGAAAAGTATTTTCGGATGGTAAGTTGTCGTCGGTTTTTTTCCTTTTTCTTTTTCTTTCTGTGCGTGATTTTTCGGCTGTTTATTTTAACTGTTAATAAGGAATCGAAATCGGTCTTATTCTCGATTTCGTTTTATTGTTGTTACTGTTGAGGAGGAGAAGAGACGATGAACAAAACGACAAAAAAAAATATGTCAACTCGAATAAAAATCCACATGTATAAGGTCCGCCTTGGAATGAGGGAAATACTTGAAAAGAAAATAGCAGCAACCGAAATGAGCCGAAAAAAGAGTAACTGCTGAGCAAGAAGAGAAATATGCGATCGCAAGAGAGAGAATTTCGAGAACAAAGCAAAAGTAGCAAATTTATAAAGCTTCACAATTTGGCAAAAGCCGAATGGTATTTTTTTCCCTTCAGTAAAGCTGTTGTTGGTGCTGCTGTCGTCAGCCACATATAACAATAATCACCATTATTATTCGCTTATATGGTATTAATTATTTTTATATAAAAATTTTCATTCAAGAGCCAATTAGGCTACGCGCAATGTGTACCGAACGAACATCGTCGCTGACTGGGGCCGGACGAGAGAAATAGTTGTGTGTTCGGTGTGTGTGTGTGTGTGTGTGTGTGCTGAATTTCATTTGCGGTGTGTGTGAATTCTTTGATGAAATTAATGTGCAAAGTGTACCTCCGAAATGGAGGAAAAAATGTCACCACAAAACATGGAAATGAAGCAAGTGAGCTCAAGAGAGAGAGAAACGCAACACAAAGGAATACAATTTGCATTGGCCAATGCTCGATTGCAGATACCAGCCAAAGCAAAATCGATTCAGATGTACATAATTCGCTCTCTCTCTCTCTTTCTGACGCGCTCGCATTGCTACTGTTTGGACGCGTCCGTGTATTTTGCAATAATTCATTGTCATTCGAGAGCGGACATGAGCAATGCTCGGTGTCGATTTGTATGTTGAAAGATGTTGAACAACATAAATAAGCATTAATTAATTATTATTTTTCAGCGCATTTTCCTTTTGGTGACGATGAATCACATCGTTTCCAAGTGTGTTCGCTTCATTGTTCAGCTCAACGTACCGCAAGGAATTTTATTGTTTCGTCGGTTGTTGTTGCTTGTATTGTGTGCGATAGACCGTTTTTTTGTCTTCTTTTCTTATGCTTTGTGTCGTCGATTTCGAGCATTTTGTAATAATAATAATATTGTGTACAGGTTGGTTCGGTGTTTTTGTTTTCCGCTGCTGTTGCGACTGAAATCGATGTGCGACCTCCAATTGGCAACATAACCATTACAATTCACATTAAATTATTTATTTTATAATAAAATTGTCGCCTGATTTGCTTTTGTTCTTTCTCTGTTTCGGTCATCTGACTGAATTTGTTATCTGATTTTGTATGCCGACTGTCACACAGTTTTTCTGCTCGGTCGACGCATTTTTTTCTCTTCGGTTCGGTCGATGCGTGTAGCTCTCGCATGCTCCGTCCAATATAGGGAAAACAACAACAAATGTGAGTCAGTGTTCATTGTACATGGTCCCAAAACCAAAAAATATGGTAATGACAATTATTATCCGCCTAATTAATAAATTCCTGGATCGTTGTGTTTTTGTCGTCGCTTGATTGTCTGCCCGAGATACGTCATTCGGCCGAACATGCGTTTTGTTGAACTGATTTAATAACAATAATACAATTGCGCCATGTCCAATGTTCAACGGCTAAATGTTTGCCTTGTGTGTGCACGCTTGTGTCTTTTTCTTTTCTTTGTTGTGTTCCTTTGTTGATCTAGAAAGAAACGAAGGCAAAAAAAACACGCAGTGCCTTGTTTTAGCAAGCAAAAAACATACCGATGTTGCTTTCAACATTGGTATTGTTACTTTTTTTGTGTTGCGCATTGTGTTGTTTACTTTTCTGGTCGAAAACTTGCGCTCGCTTATCCATATCGGTGGCGTTGAATCAGATGGCAACCAAACTTGGCACATTCCAAGATGCATGTAGTGAAATTTTCTATCGATCGTCGTTGTGGTGGCGATGAAGAAGAATTCGCGCGCTCATCGTTGCTCTTTTTTGTTGTTGTTTTTTTAAATGAAATTACCATTGCGATTCGGATCACTTTCACACATTATTCACCTTTTTCGTCCCCATTCTTATCGCTGATCTAAAAGCTATAACTCAATTATGTATTCGAATCGCAATTTGATTAATTTCATCGGTGTACCCGTTGCTGTTGGCGGCTGTGACGGCAAAGCCCCGGTTTTGGAAAAGGCCACGCATATTTTCATGCCATTTAAATTTCATGCCGAATTCGAATATAATAGCATTTTCTCAATTGTACATAAATCTTCCAATAAGAATTATGGTCAACGCGTCGGGTTTTTTTTCTTCTTCGCTCTCACTCACTCTCGTGTGTAGTGGAGTTGCTTGTGAAATCGATTTTCATTCGAAAAAGCATTTACGCCCCTTGATTTGTTTTCATTGCATTTGAGAATGGGTTTTTCTTTATATAATGGAGTTCAACACGTTTTATATGTTTGCGGTCGGAACTTCAGGAAGATTTGCTTTTTTTTCAACATTCAGTTCATTCATTTTCTGGTAAAATACCCGGTTTTATTTGGATATCTTCATTTGTAATTTTTTTTTCCTCTTATTTTTTTTTGATTCCATGCCAAAACCTTATAATTCCATTTAGGATTATTAATGAACATCATTTTCTCTTTTGGAGCATACATCGATATAAGCTACGATTGGCAATTGACGTTCGCTTGATTGTGGTCACAAACGCATCAATCATGAGACGATAAAAATTACATCCTTCTTTTCACTTTGTGCTCAAGTCACGCGAAAGGTGTGATAACAGATCGATGGCTTCAAAAGGCTTACGGTGAAGAGGTAACGAGGCAATCAAGCGACGTCGTAACAAGCAAGCGCTTGCAACAAAAAAAAATGTATAAATATATATGATTAAACGATTGAATGTTCTTTTGAGGTAAGAAAACATCAAGGGAAGAAATTAAGAGATCAACGATCGTTGGAGCAACACTCACAGAAATTCGACGAAAAAAACGAGCCATTATTGCTTTTTCATATATCATCTGGCTAGTATTTCCATAAAACATCCAAAAAAAAAATGCTCAAACACAATTAATTACAACGTTGATTAAGATAACGAACGGATTGAGCGTGTGTGCTGGCAAATTCACTGCTTTTTTTTCCTTCTTTTGATCAGGTTCGAAAACATGAACGACCAAAAATGAAATTAATCAATTTTTGTTTGGTGCTCTTTTCTCTCTCTCTCTCTCTATCACTCTCTTTCGTTCCCATCGTGTGTTCCCGAAGCGAGCGATGTGCATGCGATCAGGTCGTGCGCACTCTGCATCTTGTTCGTATCATATCCACAATCCTTGTTGCGTTTGCAATTATTAACACATTATAAATGTGAATACGATCATTTGTTTCACTCTCGTCCCATGTAATCAAATCATTTATTTTAACGGACGAAGCGATGGCATTAAAATATCGCTGTTGGCCAGAGCAATTTTAGTTGCCGCGCCATCGGTGTGCTGTGTCCACCATGCCCTCCGATATGAATTGCATTTCACTGTGTACAAGACACACGCGGGAGATAAATCGATTTTAAATTGCCTTGACCCGATTTCATGGCGCATTTTCTGTTGCTATGGTGGTTGCGAGGACGTGACGCGACGCAATGCAACGCGTTGACAATGACTTTAGCGTGAGAACGCCACTGTCTCATTCGGTAGCACATGAAAACGACAACGATGACACTTTTGTAATTCTAATGATTCGCCAAATTGATTGCTTCAATTGGCCAATTGAAATGAATGCCTATGTTGACCCATATTCTCAACCTAATGCAATTGACACAATGCTTTCCATTGTTTTTTTTTTCATTTCAAACAATATCCTTAAATGACACACACGTACGTGAAAATCCGTATGCTTGTTGGTCCAGGGGAAAAAAGTGCCGCCGCAAAATTGCTCGATGAAAAACCATAGCCAAACAATGAGACGCGTCTCATGGCATTGATCAAAAATGTCCAACAATTACGCAGACCAAACAATTTCCGTTTCTCATCGCATTGCGCGACGACGCTCTTTACGTGTCGTCTTTTTTTTGTTATTCATTCTTAAATTCAATAAGTGACGTTAATTTTCTCTTTTCCGTTTTGTTTGTTCATCGCAGTAACACTGCCTTTTTTCATACATTTATTTTCGGTGTATAACGAATGAATGTCATTTCCAAATTGAAGCAAATACAAAAAAACCAAAGCCGATGGATCGGTTGAAAAAACGATTCACAACGTCGTTCAAAGGTAAGAAAAGAGCTATAATGCCAATTACAGTTTTCTGTTTGAGGTTGAGCTGTGTGTGTGTGTGTGTTGAACGAGACTGAAAAATAAAAGAATAAAATGCCGTGGAATTGAAACCACTGCGCGCGCACAGGCGAAAT